TTGTGAAAATAGCTTGTTGTAAAAGGGATAATTCGTTTCAATTCATTATTAAGTTTTTGATGATTTTGAAGTTTCTGTTTTTTCAATGATGATCATAAATAAATGGGAGTTTCCACAAACAATTTAGGAAAATGCTAAATCTTGACATTCAAAGTGAATGTAAAAATATCTGCAAAACCTGCACAATGTGTGAAAAACAAAAAAACAAGATAACCAACCGAAAATAACATTTGTTCAGATTTGAAAAATAACATGACTGTACCTGCTGGTGGAGAACTAAATGCCTGAGGTGGTCCTCCATAGTGTCCATAGAGGGGCTGGGCAGGGGCAGCTCCAAACCCACCTTGGTAGCTCCCCATTCCCGGCTGGGCCTGGGAGTACGGGGGTGCAGCTACGTAACCCTGTTGGCTCATTCTGTCTGTCACTCTCTGCTCATACCAGTTGGGAATGTTAATCAAGCTAAAATGGAGAAACATAAAGCTCATCAAATGAACGAAAAAGTATAATAAAACAGTACTTACATAGCTGTCCTTGTAGTTGCCTGTTTCATGGTTCATTTATTGTTGTATTCAGTTTAAAACAGATGTAAACAAGCAACACAAAAGTCAGCTGAGATTTGACCTCATTCTGTTATCAATGCTGTGGGAGAGACCTTCGACTTTACTTTCTAACAGATAAAGCAATGTTGCATGAGTTGGACATTTTCATCTACGAACACCACACTTTAAAAGCTTAAATTCAACCGATTAGCTTGAATCTGTGAAGTTTATCAACTCTTTTATGCACCAGTCATATCTGACTAATTCTAGACATTTTAACTTGGGTATTTCAGATATTAAAATGCTGTTAAATCAAATTTAAATTAGTTTAACAACTTACTGTGAAAATATGGAAATACATTTACAACACACTTTTAGATGATGTAGTCCTCAGTGTGTCTCTCACCTTGTTTCCAGCTAATATGCAAGCTTTGAAATGGTTTTCTTTGTTGTTTTATTTATTTATTTTTATATAGGACCATAACAGTATGTTGTTATTGTTATATGAGATTGTTTTGCCTACTTTATGCAGTCAAGCAGTTTCTGTTTAAGTGAAATCTTAATTTTGCCGGTAAGTCATTAATAAAACCTGGGTGTGGCCATTGACCTTTTTAAAACAACTCTCTGACCATCTTCACCCAATGGAATTGAATACTGGAATGACAGGACTCTAATAAGAATGCAAAACAGCAGTGTATGTATGAGTTGGCAAACTATTGTAGCCTCCTTCTTCCAACATCCTTTGCCTTGAGGACAGTGGCGGAGATGGGGGGCCAGGGGTGGCCATGGCCACCCTTAGCCAATCTTTGGCCATCCCTACCATTTTTTCCCCTCTAATACTGATGGTGGCAACCGTAATACTCTCAGGTGGAATATTCAAAGCATTTTTTTGGTGGTAAATATACACATAGATATACTAACATCAAAAATGCAAAAATGATAACTACAGAATTCATGTTCTTTTCAGAGCTAGATTCTGTCTTATATAGGGTAAGGAGAAAATGCTGTGCATCTGCAAGTCATCTAGGAGTCTTCAGTGAAATTAAAGATAAATAACAGTTTTAATAAAAACTTATCAAATAATCAATTTATGCAGATATTAGTGCTTGTTAATATCACTTTTAGGCAGAATGTTTATTGAAAGAAGTAGGTAAATAATAACAATGGAAAAGATTTATGCCCCAGAACTCAAAACTGAAAGAATTTTATCCACTATACCTTTTATCTAGAAATTATGAATGTTTAAATATATGCGTCTATTTGTTAGTAAAGGCTGTAGTAAAGTATAGTTTGTCTTTGTTTAGAAAATATGACAATTTTCCTGTTGAAACAGTGTAGATTGACCGTGAAGTTCTGGTGCCGATCCGCTTTGGGCCACCCCTTAGTGTACACTGATTATTGCCTGGCCACCCTTATAAAAAATTCTGGCTACGCCCCTGCTTGAGGAGCATAAAAAAGCGTTTCTTTAAAAATAAAAACAACAAAAAACTGTTTCACATTGCATAAGTTGAGCAATTGCAATATTACCTGCAGTTTGAAACTGCAAAAATGTAATTGTTACTTTAAAAAAAGTTATGTGTCTTATAATAACTCTTTTATTAAAGGATAATAACAATAAACATTACATCCAACCTTCTGATTTAAAAAAAAAAATCATAATTTAAAATATCCTAAAGTATATATTTACACACACACAAAAACTGAGTGAATCAAAAAACAAACAACTAATTTAACTTATTAAAACAAGAAGACTGGGCACAGCTGGATCATTAAGCCACAGCTGCGTGTCATCCAATTTTATCAAACACCGGAAATCGATTATTGTGACACTTTTCGCCCTGCTTAACTTACAAATGTTGACAATTTAGTGGTTTGGGCTTCAAGGCTTATTAAGTAACTGCGCAACTTCCGAAAATTGCCACGTCAAAGTCCGTTATGATGCTAAAAGAAAAGCGTTACACCTATTTATGAATTAAAACGCAACTTTCCAGATCTGCTGTTTGAAAATTTGTTATCATTTCCGTATTTTCTTAAACCTACGTTAATAAACGTTCTAATAAAACCGTGACATTATATTACTTTATACTAATTTCTCTCTGTGAGTAAGAGGAAAGCGCTGCAAAGTTTCCAGCTGTGAGACAGAGCTTCAAATAAATCATTACCTGAAGGACGAAATATATTTCAGTTCGTTTGTAAAGGTGTCATCATCCCTGCTTAGGGTTCTTTACCTGAACAGCAGGACAGTTAAGCTCCTCTTCTTCTCGGAGAAAACCGGAGTGCCACGTCAAACTCCACAGTGCACCGGGTCACGACAAATCAGCCATCTTTACGGGCAGTGAAAGCTTTTCAAAGTAAAGCAAATAAAGGTGTATAAACCGTTTGGCCCGATATGAATAAAGCTAACATAAAAACACTATGCTAGATATACAGACTCTATCTGTCCTAAATACAATGTTTATATCTTAAGAAACTTCCTAAAGCGTCTTTAGACTATAATATCTGGTTAATAACTAAATGTTGTATTTTATTTTGAAAGGTTAACCGTTTCACTTTCATTTTTGTGTGAAGCGGTTTTAGCTAGCTTAACTGAACGAGCAGTGCGCATGCGTGAAACAGAGGGAATCCATACACGTCAGCACAGTCAATAAGGGTTATAATGCGTTTCATCACCTTAATAAAGGTTTACAAATTGTGGCTCCAATCTCGTAGCCATGTTCTCATACCAGTGCTTTTCAGCTTATACAGGATATATCGTGCAGATACATGCAAGTAAAAACGTTGAAATCTTAAATATAATTTAATTAAACGGTATCAATGTTCTCCTTTCAGCTTATCTCGTCGTCTATGCAATAATATTTCTCTAAAAGCAGCATCTTGCCAGCGTGGCTATATTACATTTCTGGAAGTCCATCACTTTTTTGTATAACTCAATTTACATATATTTGAGTTCAAATAACCTAAATAACCTTAATAACTAAATACATAACTATTAATAATAACTAAATAACTAAACTTAATAACCTTAATCCTAATCAATTCATTTGAACAGCAAAAATTTTGTTTTTATGATTAAACAAAAATCAACTATGACAGCCTCAATGCTGATATTGGATACATTAAATCGGATAACTTCTCCTATGATATTATCATATTTTTATTACATGATACCTTCTATCAAAGACTGAATGTAAAAAATATATGAATGATATAAAATAAAGAAAAACTTGTCAATCACAAACTCCTGGAGAAGGTGATCATGCTTTTGCCATGTTATGGTAGATTGATTTATTCACCATACAACACATATATACCCACACCTCTTCTTTAAAGTAACCTACTGAAGAGGATTAGGGCTACTGAAAAAAATAAAAAAAGTTAACTGATTTTTAAATTTTATTTCTGTATAAAAAAGTCAGAATTCTGACTTTAATCTCAGAATTCTGCCTTTTAATCTCAGAATTCTGACTTTAATCTCAGACTTCCGACTTTTTTGTCAGAATTCTGACTGAACTCTGACAGCTTACAAACATGTTAGCATCAAGCCTTAGCCATGTCTGTTTTACAGAATAAACTAGCTCTCTTCTTTTAATCACCTTCTGCTCTTCCATTAATGAAAACACCGTGGACCCCTCGGGCACGTAAAAAGTCACCTAATTCCATCATTTTCCACCAATGTGTCACTGGCCCTCTCACACAACTCACATCTTTGTCAGTGAAGCTGAGTGCTCCCTCATCTCTTCCTT